ATATTGGGAACTAGTGTTGAGTTTCTTGTCTGCTTAGAAACCCCAGGTCTCACTTATTTATTATCTAGCAGGGTATTAAACATATTAGAAAATTCAAATTTTGTTTAAGTAAGTGACTTGTCAAACTACCCATATTTTTTTATAAATCTGTCCTCTTCTGTGTTTCCTGCTACCCTGGTCTTTGTACCATCTGTAAAAGCTGTTGGTAGTGGTCAGTCTTCAAATTTGTGATGAAAATTCTACCAAGTTTGACCAAACCCTGCAGAACCCACCAAAACTACCTTCATTCAGTGAGGTGAGGCCAGGTGCTCTGAGGTCCTGCGATGAATTACTACCAATCCATTTGATACCTGTGTACTGATAATAGTAAGGTGTCAGATGTTGGATCAGGTAAAAAAAGGCAAAGAGCTACAAACTTCACAAAGTATAATACAGCTAGGCATTTAGTTTTACCAGCCAAACCCATGATTTCATAAAAGAATGAAATCATACCAATTGCAAGTAATAGGGAACAGGTAATTCAGTCAGGTTGACTCTTCTGGAGCTTCATTTTTCATTTCAGAACAATATTATTTCCAAATATAAATTAATAAAATTGGAAAAATAATTTAGAGCAAATTAACAAGTAATCTTTTGATATTATCAAAATCTAATATTCATTTAAACCACTATATTGAATCAATTTAATTTTTGATACTTTTTTTTATATTTTCATTCTCATTTGGAATGAATGATGGAGAAGATTTAAAAACAATCTGGAAAGGAGTTTATTTTATATGACATTTCTTAACAGACACCTCCTGTTACATAAGATGCTATTCGGTTCGATGAATTTAAGAATAAAAATGTATTACTAGTTGTATTTTTTCTTCAACATAAGACTAAGCAGAGGAATACAAGCTTTCTCTTTTCCCTTGGGAATGAATCTACATATCTGTGACACAGCCTCTTATTAAAAGTGTTTCTGAATGTAGAAAATTATTCAGTTCACTGGAAGCTTGAAAGATAATTTTAAAAGAAACACAAGATAGGCTATTTAAGATCCTGATGATGGCAACTGCTCTCAGTAAATGACTTCAGGTATAATGGAGGTAAGGCACCTAGAAAAAGTGAATTTGGGGGCGGGGGAGGGGGGGTAAGAGACAGCATCTCTCAGAGTTTTTACCAGAGTTAATTTATGGTTTTGATGAGAGTGAATTCATAGTTAAAGTTGTAACCTTAGTCAGGGGACTTTTCTTCCCTTCCAGCTGACACAAGAAAGCACCGTTTTCTTTAAAATCAGCACTAAATTTTAGAGAAATAAAGTCAGGAAGGAGGAGGAAGGGAGGAAAAAGACTTTGCTTCCAAGGACTAGTCTTATTTATCAACTTCAGCCAACTATTTCACTTCCAGAGATACCTTCTAAGACCTCAGAGGTACAGCTGATCTCAAAAGAAAAGGTTTGAGATTGAGACAGTCTCTGATCATGCCAAGACACACATAGCTGTGTAACTTTATTCAGGTGAGGTCAGATAATTTCACCTGGTTTCTACAAACCCATTCCATGCCTCCTGTCCTCCTCCATAGAGGGAGGACTGTGCTTCCCACACAGTACCTGCATTTCCCACCAGTGCAAGAGGCAACACAATACCCCCTTTCTCTCTCACTCTCTCCCCAAGAAAAGCAGCGGCCGCAGGAGACTGTTACATCCCATGTGCCGCGGCTTGGAGTGAGCAAGGTACTGTCAGCCCACCCGGCCAGCTGCTGGCCTGACAGCAGACGCCCTGGGGCTGGTACACGTCCCTCACAGCTGACGCGAACACGGGGAGAGTTCCTGCAAACCATCCACACCGTGAGAGCCGACTGCACCAGGCCTGCAAAGAGTGCAGGATGCACTGCAAACCTATTACAGACCTCTTTCTGCACATTAAAAATAACCACTGTCCATGTGCCTGAGGGGTCTGAGGGTGCTTACAATAGCCCTGGTCTTGCTCTTTTAGGATTTTTAGTGATTGGGCTTTGGCTTTTAAATCTAACAGTTGCTGTGTGTTTAAGACAGTGAATACCAGTATCTTCATTTTATGCATGAGAAAACCAAGTCACAGGGCCATGAAGTGACCTTCTCAGGACAGGAGAGAGTGTTGAAGCCTGGTAGGAAAACCAAAAGAAGAATCCAGGTCTCCTGAGACATGGTTTAACAGGCCATGCTGCCACCACCGTACTAAAGTACCATTCCCACTCTGCCTTCAACACAAATCTCTGTTTACAGGAGCTGTACCAAACTCTGCTACTTTTCCTTCAGGAGCTCATGGATGCTGTCAAAGTGCTGTTCTCCTGTGGGTTTTCCCTCTGAGGGAACTCTGAGAGGGTTTTCCCTCTCAGCAGAAACACACCCCACCACACCTGAAGGAGATTTTGGACACCCAGTACTCTGCATGCAGGCTGCTGAGATGCTGACTCACTGGTCTCCACGAGATTCTTCAGCAGCTCTTGTGAAGAAGTAGCAAAACTGCCCCTGTGGACATATCAAAGCAAGGAATAGGCCAAGGCCTGCCTACACCACAGCTTATGGATGAATTTGAGCCTGCTTCTGAGGCATCTCAGGACTGTTTGGAGTCTCCTGAATCTACCACAGCATTAACGCTTCAACAGTTTCACTGAGAGTCTCAGAACAAAAGAGGTCTTGTTTGTGTCACCCAAAAGATGACTTGGTGTCAGCCTTGAAGTGGTCAGGCAGTTGGACTAGATGATCATTGTAGGTCCCTTACAACTGAACTTTTCTAACAGTATCAGGTGTTGGTTAAAATAGCAAAGGGAGGAGAGCCAGGCCTGCATTGCCTGCTGGTCTAGAAGGAGTTAGGAGGAAGAGAGAAGATCTGGAATTCAGAGAGATGAGAAACAGCAACGAGGGGCCTCACACAAACCTGTGCGCAGCTGGAGGATAAAGAAGAGCCACAGTGTGTTCCCATCCTCCTTTAGAGTTGTGGCAGCTGGACAAGAGGCAACATGGGATGGCTGGAGGACATGATTCCCCTCTCTCTTGCCACCTTCTTTCACAAACTTCACACACACCTTGGCTTTCCACACCAAAGGACATCACTGCAAGTTACATTTTTTAATGGGTCATGAAAAACCCATTTTGAGATGCAGTCATGCAGAGAATGGATGTGAGGGAAAAAGAGAGGGAGATGAGAGCTTAGGACAAAAATGAAAAAAAAATACCTCTTACATGAACATTTAGAATATTTCAAAATCATAAGAAATGTTTGAAACTGTAGATGTGTGTATACATGCACTTCAGCTAATGATTCTAGCAGTGTTTAAAGCATTTGCCACAGAGAAAACCTAGGAGAGGGGCATACTGAAAAAAAAAAAAAAAAAAAAAAAAAAAAACCCAACAGGCATTTTTCCCTTTTTTTTTTTTTTTTTTTTTTTTTTTGATCACGTAATCAAGAGATGGACCAAGAGGAAACTGAAGCAAAAGGCTAATGTAGGAACTGGTAGGAGAGCGAGCCATAGCTAGCTAGACCCTCACAAAAGTAATCTTAGGAGGGTAACCGAAGGAGAGAAAAAAGAAAATACATATGCACCAGTATAATCCATACACACTAACTTTTAGATTCTGGCTAAGTTGAATTTATTTCCACTGCACACGCCAGTTAATCCACTGTCATTATTAGCAACTGATGGCTTAGAAAAATCTCTGCCTTTGCAGCTCTGTGTGTGTCAAGTATGGAGTGTCTCTTCTTGCAAGAGAAATACAAAAAGAAATGAAATCTCTACTCTGAATGAAGGGCAAAAGGGCATGGAGGGGGTATAAAAATAACAGCATCACAAAGCTGGAGCAAACCAGTTTCTCCATTGACCACAGGCATCTTTATTTATTGCACTGACTATTAAAGGGAATTTTATCTCCATTATTCAAGAATATTTACCTGGTTATGACTCATCTTTCGTAAAGTACCTCATCAATAACTTCAGTGCTTCTAGTTAACTTCCCCCTATATCAACTCTGACAGTTATTTCACCATCCTGCAATTGCTTGACCTTTATCATGCATGCTTTACTAACAAGATCCCTTCCAATACCTCCATTTTTTTTTTCTGTGTACAAGCTGGTTTCACTTGATCAGTGAATACTGCACATTTTTTTTTTTCAGAATTTTTTGCAGGATTCAAATGGACTGTGGAACAAGAGTCCAAAAAGTTACATGATTTCAGTCCCCTTGGTTGCTCATTATCGCCCTGCTGATCTGCACTGTTCAAACATTTTTATAAATTGCAAAGGTAAAGGACAAAAAGAGAGAAATCATAGTGCAAGCTAAAATATACACCAATACACAAGTTTAAGTGCAAGTGCAAGTATTGGTGCATTTCACTAGGTGCTTTAATATGAAAAACTGCCTAACGCAGATACCCAGCTTTCTCCTGTTTCCTGAAAAACAATAGGAAAGATATTTCAGCATCTGCTTTGCTTTCTTCAGTCCAACACCAACAACTGGAGTTAAACACCACTAGACAGAGAAACAACATCCCTTGCCTTACATTAAGCATTTCCACATATCTTTATCGTTTCCTTTTATTCCCACCTTGTTAAACGAGCTACTGGGTGACAAGACAGTAATGTCCACACGACTAGGCACATAAGCCATTCCTCGGGGACTCCTCACAGAGGAAAAAAGCTGCCTTGCAGAAGTTTCTTTCTGCCGCTTGAGCTTTCCCTCGGATGCGAGCAGCCTCTCATCCCTAGAGGGCACCCGATGAACGCAGCTCCGGGGCACAGAGCGCCTTCCCCGCAGGCTGCAGGTTTTATCACTTTTAAACAGCTTCTCCCTTCTGCCTCTAACTGCACGTCCAGGCAAACGCTGGGACTGAAAAGGTTTGGGTCGTTCCAGTTACTTTCTTCCAGCTCCTCAAGTAAGGACTCCCAGAGAGCTTCCATAAACTAACCCCCTCCCTCCACTGCCAAATTTAGGGATGGCCATTTGCACCTCTTCCACCAGGTACTCCAAAGCCCCTTACCTTATGATGACAAACATGACCAGAGAGTTTCCCACCAAGCCGACAACGAAGACCACCGAGTAGACAGCAGTGATGATGATGGGGATGGCGGGGGAGATGCTGGTGTGGTTGTGCTGGGCGTCCGTGAAGGCCCCGGTGGCGTTGCTGTCGTAGTCCGCCCAGCCCAGGATCCAGCTGCTGCTGGTGCTGGGGGGACGACAGGGCCCCGGGGAGCAGGTGGAGTCCGGCTCCTCCCGGAAAATCTGCACGGGGGCATCCATAGGGGCACAGCCCCCACAGGCAGGAGGGAGACCGGGAGGAGAGTGCAGACAGCAGGTGGCGAGAATGCTGGAAAGAGGGAACAGAGGGAAAGAAACAGAAGTGCTATCACAGCCACTGGACTTTAAGATCTCCAAAATTTGTACATGTTAAGGGGAACTCTGCTGCGATGGGAACTGTAATTTGCCAAGCAGAGATTTAAGCAAACCACATTCATATTAAATAATTACAAGATTTACATCTCACCATGTAATGGGTAAATGCTGTGCATCCAGGTGCACAAGGAAAGTTTTCCTCCACTTTCAGAGACTCCACAGAGAAACAAATCAGATGGGAAACAGCTCAGATCCACCTCCACACTTTAACCCTGTCTCTCCCATCCTCCATATTTTAAGTCAAACAGTATCCTAATGACAGGGGGTCCTTACTGCCTAAGCTCTACTATAAAGAGGGGGAGAGAGAGAAACCTCTCTGCACATCTGCTTTGACATCCTGCTCTGAGTTATTTTTTTCCAAATCCCATACCTGCTTTCAAAGAAGAGACACATTAATGACACAAAATACCTCTTTCAGTCCAGGAAAAGGAGTCCTCAAACAGATGTTCTTCGCAGGAAAAGAAAAAAATAAAGCAGCTCCGCTTGGCTCCTGGAAGTACCACCGACCTTTTAGGACTTTTGAACCTGAGGCATCTGCGCCTTTGGAGAGGCGTGCTGGCAGCGGAGCCGATTCTCAGGTGTGAGCTGCGACGTGGTAGCAGCAGTTGCTGCTGTTCCAGCTCCCACCACTTCTCCTTTTCCCTCTCAGGCTCCCTCTGCCTCCCTCTCGCTCTGCCAGGGCTCCAGCAGCACTCTGCACTGATGCACACGTTCTCCTCTGTCTCTGTCCCTGCAGCTCAGAAGCTCACATGACTTCTGTCTAAACACTGAGAGGCAGATAAATTAAAAGAAAAGCAAAAAATACATTCCGCAATGAATGAATGCTGATTTTTAATATGCTTTTCTGAGTTTTCTTTCCTCATTCCCTTTGCACTCCCAGGCCTCAAGCAATGATCCTCTCTGCCTTGTTGAATCCCACATGCTTTTACAGATGCTGAATAAACCAGGAATTTTCAGTTTAGATGGCTTGCCTGGTCCATCAGCTCTTTTGTGCCTCAGCTTCACATGTGCATCCAAAACACTTCTCACTGAGTGGCTGTGAGCCCGTTCCTTTATATCTGCAACTTGGAGGAAAGTCAGAAGCTGGCTACCGAAGCAGAGAGAGGCACCTCGATTACTGTCCTTAGTTTATTCAAGCTGCCCCACACTGTGTGAGAAGCCAAGAATTCCCTGTAGCACTGCTGGAGCTCTGCTCTCCCCAGGCTCCAGCTGCAGCCAGGGATGGAGAGATGGTGTGTGCAGAAATCACATCCCTTGGAGCTTATTCCTAATATACTCCATCAAGCAAGGACTGGGAACACACCAATCTGTGTTCAGGATATCCCTTAATTTGCAAACAGACCTTGAAATCCCAACCAGGAGTTCTTCTAAATGGCAAATTGGAGAGGTGAGGCAAGACCTTGAGTTGTTCCCTCTCCCTTGGAAGAGGTGGGGAACAGCCAGGCTGGCTGCATCTCCAAGCATGCAGCAGGAAAGCAGGTCTCTGCGAGGAACAGCAGATGGTCGTGCCTCCCTGGGCATTTGGTGAAGCCTAGATAGCCGGAAAAGCGATTGTGGGTTTCCTTCATTCTCTTCTAATGCTGAAACTTTAGTTTGTAGTCCTCTTGTTGAGTGTGGCCAGGCTGCAGTTTCTATTTCTAAAATATATTTCCTTTCTAAACCTATAATCAACATAAGAAATTATGTCAGCTGAAGAGTCAAAAGTCATGAAGGAGGTTTGAAAGGCACAGAATTCCCTCTCTCAAAGGCAGACGCTTGTGCAAATGTGGTGATGGCTTTGACTGTGGTCAGCGCTTTCTCCAGAACATCAGCATCTGCTCACTATCACCTGTATAGAGCTGTCTAAAAGTTTCACCCCTAATGAAGATGTAAAAAATTGCAATCCTAACATAAAATGTACCCTCCATCCTGTTTTTATCCTCTGCAACACATGGGCTTTTGCAAATGTACTGAAGGCAATTGGTACTGCTACTTCTTCTCATATATGGTTTTCCTTGGCAATTTTCAACTTCTTGTTAATATTTTCTTCAGACTTCTCCACATTCTGAAATTAAAATATACAGGAGAGCTGTTAAGGTAGCAATATTTTAGCACTCATTGATCATTCATCTCTTGTGAGCAGTCATTTTGTTTGGATAAGCACCTTGAATTTGAGCATATACAGCTGCAAAATAATCAATAAAATGGATTCTAAGAGTTAGGCTGAAGTGAGGGAGAAAGGAGCAACAGTTCGTCACCCTGCAGTTGCTACAGGTGGATCAGAAACTTCTATATGGGAAAGGAAAGTCTGTTATTGCTCTGCATAAATCTAAAGCACAGATGATATAGTAAGAATAAGAGAGACTCAAAGTTTTTTCAAGCATCAGTGGCTGGACAGTAAGCTACTCTTTCTCTAGCTAAATTCTGTGCTGAAACTCTCCAGTGATCTTAGCACAAAAACCATGTGCTCACAGCTGTGGTCACTGACCCTTAATGGAGCGTGCATTGTAACTACATCAGACTGGAATGAGGTGCAGTTTGATCACAACACTGCAAATTATAGGGTGAGCCAGAGACAACATTTAAGTTGCCTGGTGCTTTCTGTCCATGTGTGCTCCACGTTGGAGGCTCAACTCTGGCTCTTGGTTGCTGGAGGCCTTTGCAACCAGTAGAAAGCAAGCACTTGGGCTAAAGAAATGCTATTCTTCTGAAAGTCAAATTAAATTCATATAAACTGCTAAAAATAATCTTTTCCTTTCTTGTCTTTCCTTACTTGATGAAAACTTTAATATCTGGTTTATGAGCAGTAACTAGTCTCGCCGCAGGTACTGGAAACACCTGCAATGATAGAGAAAGAAAAATGACATCGAAAGAAAAACCAAGGGCAGAGGGAGAACCACTCTCCATCCCCATCTTCCTCTCCTTCAACACGTAACTGCTCAGTGCCTCTGTGCCCTTCCCAATGGTCCTGCGAAAAAGGCCAGGAGTCTCCTGAAGCCACGAGAGAAGAGAAGGAAAGGGTTTGCAGGTCACCTAGCCCAGCCTGTCCAGACAGCCATGCCGGAAGACCCTGTTCCCTCTGAGGGATCGCAGTAGACAAAAGACCTTGTTCTGTCAAGGGAAAGCAAGAAAAGATTTAGGGAGGAGAGACAGCATAAAAGCACAATCTCACCACTCAGCTACAACTTTCCTCATCGCTGTTGGTACAAACCTGTGGCTCACATGCCCACCAATTTTTTAACTATAATACTGTAGAGCCACCTCACTGAACTTCAGGAAACACAACAGAAATCACCTGGACTTTTTTCATTAAAAATACAAAACTATAGATCAAATTCTATATTTAGGGGACATTGTTTAAGCTGTGAATTCCAGCCCTCAAGGATAAAAAAATGCCACATTCAGCTGTCCAATACCTAGGCACTACAATACATGTGCATTTACACTACCTTTTTTTTCTTTTCCTGGACTCTCCACCTCATTCACAGATCGACTACAAAATATTGCTACTTTTAAGTGGAAGGACAACCATAAACTGGGAATTTTGCATCTGTAAAGTGTTTTCTTTCACAATCCTAATTAAATTCTTTGAATGAATAAGGAACACGGGTGGAGGGAGATATGTGATATTTAACAATAGCAGGTGGGAAGGGCTTCAACGTTGTCTTTTTTTATTACCAAAAGCTAAAGTAATGAGCTGCCCCCATCAGCATACTGCTTCAAAACCTTAACAATGTGCCGGGACATTAATTCAGCCCTGACTCAGAGGTAAGAATGAACCGCACTGAATCACCGGCACGACTCTGTGTGGCACCCGCTCACCGTGCCACAGCTGCATCCCTCCAGCACATGCAGGTTTCAAGTGAAAGCTGCTAAGTTGCCAACATTGTGTCCCTGAAGACCATGACGCTTTCTAGGTTTAAGTTAAATTTTCAAAAGAAGGCAGATCTTGAAGTTCAACTATGAATTGTAGCACTGGATACTTTGATCCGGGATCATTGGCAGAAGTCACTTTTTATTCTAGAGGTTGGGAGGGAGGTCAGATGAGTTAAGTGGAGCAGGCTATCAAGATGCTTTTTTTTAGTTCATAATTGGTTTTGCTACCTGATTGACCAAAGGCTACAATAATAGTGAACCTGAGTAAAGGGAGGAAGTGCTGGAAACGCTTTCTGGTGGCTCCAGTTGCCAGGGAAACAAAGTTCTCTCTCTCTGTATCCAGAAATGTTAGCGCTCTGTGTGAACACAGCTCTCTGGAAATGATGCGTTTTATCCTCTTCAAAGACCAGCAAAGGAAAGTAAGGGGAAAAAGAGAGGCAGGAAAGCATATATAATACTTCCTAAACAGTTTTTGTATATATATTTTGGTAATAGCAGACTAAATATTCAGCATAAGACTTGTGTTTTGTTTTTTACTTGTAGATGGCAGAAGTTTGTATTACATTTATACATTATAAATTACTAGTACGGATGTCCATTGCCATCTTCAGAAACCAACCCAATGAAACCTTGAGCACCGGGACAGCCTTTGTGGCCTGTCCCAAGACATGTCCACCTTCCATGGGAAAGTACAGCCACCCTCTAACTGCCATCTCCAGGGAGCTACTGGGCAGGTGTTGAAAGGTTTCTGACCCCAGGACTTTAAAATGGGGGGTTTGGGGGGGGGTGATACCGACAAGAGGT